CTACTAATAGTAATAATAATAATAATTACTAATAGTAATAATAATAATTACTAATACTACTACTATTCGAACTTCCTCTCCTGGAGCTTTCGCTGCAGGTCGCGGAAGCCTTCCTGGATTGCCAGGCCAGGGGGTGGTTTGGAGGGCTTAGGGTTCAGGGGTTCAGTGGTTTAGGGTTTAGTGGTTTAGGATTTAGGGTTCAGTGCTTTGGTGCTTCAGGGTTTAGGGTTCAGGGGTTTAGTGGTTTAACATTTGGCAGAGGCCATTCCACTCCGTGTAGTGTCAGCCCTTGTCTCCGTTGGGTATGCCACTGCAACTACCTGCCGAGGCTGTGCAGGCGCGTGTGATCGAGCGGACCGGCTTGGAGATTTTGGGAGTGCGCTTCTTTGCCGCACTCCTCCCGAGATGTTTTGTATGTTTAGAGAAATACAGACATATGGGGGACCCTGATATAGTACCCTAAATAACTGGATCCTTATTATAAGGACCCCAAAATAAGGTACCCAAATTTGCGGAAAGTCCCATATGTTTTATGTATTTATATGTATGTCTGTGTGTATACATTCGCAGTTGGAGGTCGAGCCATGCTTTGGGCTCACGCATCTCGTGCAGAACATTCCACCCGAGGTCCTTTAAGATCAAGCTGGTGAGTGCAGCATGATTGATGAGTTAGCGTCTAGCTGTCAGGGCGAAGACCCGACTTACCTGCGTGAACGTCAAACACCCTGATGTTGGATGAATCTGGCCCGAGGTCAAGATTTCCGCGGATTGGTGAAAGCCACTCAGCTGTTGTTGGTGCGCCATGCCTTGGTCCAGACATGGGGGTTTCCGAACATGGGGGGTGCCTTAATTGGGGGTCTTTATAATAAGGATCCTATTATTTGGGGTACTATATTAGGGTCCCCTATTTTCGGAAACCCCCACATCTGCCCGGCCAGCTGCTGAATCCTTCGCCGCGAACCACGTAGACACAAGTGCACACCGAGACTCGGAATCCAGATTTTTACAGGAAGCTGCGAATTATCCAAACCCAGAGGGTCCTAAGTACCTATATAGCAGAATGTAGGGTTTCTATAATAGGAACTACTAATATGAATTGGGGAAGTATCCCTCATAACAGGAAATGTCATGCCAGGACATCGGCTTCGAAGCAGTACTGAACGACGCAGACTTTCGGATATACAACTGTTGTTGTAGGTACTGACTAGTAGTAGCAAGTGGTGGGAGTCTACTCGTACCAGTACCAGTGCTCGTGCCAATGCAAGTACTCGTGCTGGCACCAGTAGTAGCTCGGGTTCTGTACTAGTACCACTACTCTGGCACCAGCGCAAGTTCTAGCACTAGTACGAGCAGTAGTAATAATAGTGGTAGTAGTCGTCGTCGTGGTCGTAGTCCTCATCGTCATAGCATTCGGAGCAGTAGAACGAGGGCCAGGCTCCAGTCGAAGATAGCCGCGTCACCTGCAGAAGCGATTACACCTCGGTCAAGTTCAAGGTAGCAGCGCAGGCCATAGCTGAAGAGCAATACTACTGCTGCTGCTACTCGACTACTACTACTACTAATAATAATAATAATATTAATATATAATTATTACAAAACTACTGCTACTACCACTACTACTACTACTACTACTACTACTACTACTACTACTACTGCAACTACCACTACCGCTACCGCTACCGCTACCGCTACCTCTACCTACCTCTACCTACCACCACCACCACCACCACCACCACCACGACGACTACTGCTACGACGACTACTACTACTTCTAGTACTGCTACTACGACTACTACTACGACTACTTCTACTACTACCACTACTACTACTACTACTACTACTACTACTACTACTAGTACTACTTCTACTACTACTACTGCTACTGCTACGGCTGCTGCGACTGCTACCTGCTAGTCTTGCACATCTTCTGTTGCTGCTGCTGCGATACTATCATTATTCTTGTTATTATTCTTATTACTGTTGTTATTATTACCACTACTACTACGACGACGGCGACTACTACTACTACTACTACTACTACTACTACTACTACTACTAGCTGCTACTACTACGATTGCTGCTACTTACTACTACTATGGTTACCGCTACTACTACGACGACGACGACGACGACTACTACTACTACTACTATTACTACTACAACTACTCCTACTACTCCTACTCCCAGTCCTACTGCTCCGGTTTCCATTCCTGTCGCTGCTGCTGTTGCTGCTGCGGCCGCAGCCTCCCAATAGCATTGATATTGGGTACCATGCTGTATTCTTTCGCAGAATGCCGTTTGGGTGTGTCGGAAGCTTCGTCAGAGGCCGTGAGGTGTGTGGAGGTTAATTTGGTCAGGATGCTTCTTTGCAGTACATCTGCAAGCAAGACCAACTCCCAAATGTCCGCGCTCCTTTCCATGCCTTCTGATTCCGGGTGTGACGGCTCTGTAAGCATCGTGACGGCAGGCTAGTGGTAGTCAGCACCCACAGGCTTCGGCACTCATCAGGCCAGTCAAGTTGCGACAGCACCTGAGTTATCTCTAACATGTCGAGATATTCCAAGCTGTCCTAAACTTCATTCAACTTCCACTAGGCCGAACCGAATCCGGAAGCCTTAATCTGAACCTCAAGACCGTAAACATAGCAATCCAGGCCCTTGTCGGGGACTACAAGGCTGGGATCCGGGCATTTGATCAAGTGGTTAAGGGGTGATGTATGCACATATGTAAGTTAAAGGCCGGTATGTACTACGTACTTACGCATGCATGTGTGCACATGTGTAGGGCCATGTATACTCTCATGCACTGTAGTGTGATGTAGTGGTACGTAATGTAGCTTAGTGTAATGTGGGGTATACGTAGTCTAACGTAGTGGAGCGTAATGTAACACAAATTTGCATGTATGCATACACGTATATGTTAAGCATGTCAGTATGCATGCATGAACGCAAGTATGTATGTATGTATGTATGTATGTATGTATGTACGTATGCATGTATGTGTATGTATTTATGTATGTGTATGTATGTCTGTGTGCATGTATGCATGCATGCATGTACTGCGGTGCAATGTACTGTCATGTACTGTCCTGTATTGTCACGTCATGTAACGTAGTATTAGTAAAAAGTAGCTCAATGTATATGCGTGCGCACGAGAGCGTAGATTAATATAATATGGTGTTTACGGACATACTTGTTTACTTATGTACATCTGAATGTGCGCAAGTACGTGTGTATTCGTGCACGCACTCACGCACTTAAGTATTCATGCATGCATGCGAGCATGTGAGTATGTGTGTGTGTGCCTGTGCGTATGTGTGTTGTGTGCATGTGCCTGTCTGCATGCATGCATGTAAGTACGCAAAGATGTTATTATACGTATGTATGTATGTACGTAGGTAAGTAAGCACCTATTTATTTGTGTGTGTATGCGTGTATGTGTGTATGTGTGTATGTATGTATGTATGTATGTATGTATGTATGTATGTATGTATGTATGTGTATGTATGTATGTATGTATGTATGTATGTATGTGTGTGTGTGTGCATGTATTTTTGTATGCGCATATGTACGTATGTATGCATGCACGTATGTATGCATGTATGTGCGTATAAGTTTAGGTCGGAATGAATGAAGGGATAACTGTATGCAACTATGCAGGTATGTATGTATGTATGTATGTATGGCTGTGCATGCACGTATGTATGTATGCATGCATGCATGTATGTATGTATGTATGTATGTATGTACATATGTATGTAATGTGTCGACGATCGTAAGAGTGTGCGGGCGTGTCTCTGTGCGTTTGTGTGGATGCGTGCTCTCTCATGTATGAATAATTTTGCAAAATCTACATTCACATGACATGCATGCATCCATCCGTCCATCCATGCATGCATCATGTCTGAATGCAGGTACATCATGGTTAGGTGTAAGTTTCAACCAAATACCCTTCTTTTGAAACTCAGTACTGTCGTTTGTGTGGGTTGAATGGTGGAATGGGTTTTTACTGCAAGCAGTGTGGTACACATGACGGAGGAGCGCTCGTTTGCGATGCGGCTCCCGCTGTGGTGCGATGTACAATTTTGTACTCATGTCCTGTTACCTACATATGTAGTCCTGCTCGGACTCCGGCCTCTTGAGAGCATGATTCATTGTACATTCCAATACCTTGGCCTCATTTTGACCTCGACATGCAATCAGTACATGGGGCGAAGCGTTTTGGTCGTGTCTCTGCATCATGCTTGTGCATCGGGGGGACGGGGTCATGGCTTTGAATCTGCCGCTTTCGTGGCATGATCTTCTCTGCCGATGTGAGGCAAATTGTCAGAGTGCCGGGAATGGATTTGTTGGGCCACGTATCCTTTTTTGTTCGACCAAGCTTGAACAGCAACGCCTGGCAGCCGAGATGGGGACAAAGCTGTTGGTTGCCGGGGCGTGTTGGGCGGCTGGCAGTCGTCGGCCTTTTTCACGAAAGACCCAAATCTGTCAGTCGGCATTGGGTAGAACTGTTTGGCCTTGTTGACGTGGGACCAGGAACATGAACAGTTTATTGCATTTGTCAGGGATTCAGGACAAAACGGCAGTTTCGCCGTGGCACGACATGGGGGAGCGTACATGGTGTCAGGGTATGCTTCCTCGCGGTCTTGTCTTGTCTCTGCTTGGCTTTTCCTTTTCCGCTTGCA